CACCATCACGGTCCCACAGAAGGGGCAACCTTCTAGCTCAAAATTCCAGCATGAAGAGACATTGTCGAACAGTGCAAACTTTTCGTCACAATGACGGATGAAATTAATGTAATCCAAAGCTTCCCTAATTGCACTTACTTGGACAGTGTCCTATTGGTTCTCAACAAAATTCACACCAACCATCCACCCTAAAGATACTAAAGACTTTGGAATACACAACTAGGATAGAATAGCTAAATACCCTAAGCATTTCGCGTCAATAACCACCAATTATGAAGCGGACTAAACAAGGACAGCAACATCTAAATCCCTAGGACAAAATATACCTCTAGAGAGTGCCATTAAATAATCTCAAAGGCTCAACCCCCGTTAGAAACAAATAGTTACCTGCTTAAGCTGACCGCGTCGTTTCGACAAGACAATAATCTGGTCATTGAGAGTTTTCCAGGCTCGTGCTTCAAAGCACAGCTGCAAAATGTCAGTGACGGCTTTTTTAGTGCCGGAAACGTCGCCGGCGAGTCTCATCTGCTTCTCTACATTCAACAATTGCTCTATTTTGGCGTCTAAATTTCCCGTGCTCTCCTAGAATTTCACAAGAATAATCAGTTTCAGCCATCAAAATCACAGGTTTCAGTAATAAACAAAGGGAGAAGAAGGCAAGCAGCAAGTATAAGCTTCTTGTTAGCAAATTCAAAGATAGGGCTTGGCGAAAAGTAACGAATCATTAAAAAAACAATTAGATCTCAGTGGCATGGATCGTTCTTGAATTTCAAAGTCTTATGGATGAACAGAGTAAATGAAAGCAGTAAAGCAGTCAAAGGAGTAACAGAAACAAAGGTGCATACCATGGTTGTGGGCGAGAGAGATCTCCAATTCAGAAACTCAGACGCCGATAATTGAGAAAACGAAGGAAACGTGCTCGTCAGGAAAATGGTCACTCTTTATGGAGCCTCACGGTGCGATGGGCCTAGCTACCTCCGCCCAGTGGGCCTTCTTATAACTTGTATCAGTCAGGACGACTCGTTTCGTTTCCTTTGAAGCGCGACACATTAAAACTTTTTATTTTTTGGGCACAGTAGATATTACAACCATCAATGGTAAATTAATTTATATTGTACAACTCATTTGCAACAATTATTTCCACACTTACAACTCAACTTCTAGGATTTATAATTCATCTTCTAGGATCTACACAATTTTCATAATTTATAACTAAATATGAAAATAAGCTTTCAAGATTTATATACCAAGCACCATGTTATTTGTCTAATAAACACATAAAAATTCAAGTGGAAACATGCCATTAATATATGATTTTTATGGATGAAGCAGTTTTATTATCTTCATTCATTGAAGGATATTTTTTCCCATTATGTATAATTTAGATTCTTTGATTAAGTAAGGCGTGATTGGTTTATTTGCATTATTTTATGAGACGTCACTTCTCAAAAAAAAATGTATTTCAAGAAAATTAATATAAAAATTACTTAGTTAGTTTATATTTTTTAAAAATAAATAACAATTTGATTTTAAAAATATATGATTTTTAAATTGAAGACAACATGCTAAAAAAGTAGAACTTAACTAGATATTATTTAAGGAAAACATTTTTACATGTCACTATAATTTACACCAATTTTTAATTAAGCCCCTGTAATTTCAATCATTTTAATTGTGCCCTTTTACTTTCAGATGTCAGAACCGATAACCCCTCCCCACCAATTTTGTTTAAAAATTAATAATATTGCTAATGGTAAATGATGTGGCTAACGGATATCTCCACATAAGTATCTAGGTATATTAAAAGGTTGGCACATGGGACGGAGAGGCAGAAGCATTTACAGGAACTAAAGGCTCATTTGGTATCATAAAAATGTTCTTGATAGAAATGAAAATAAAAATTGAGATGGACATGAAAATAGGAATGGAGACATATATGAAAATAATAAAATTATTTTTATTTGATATTTGTCTTTATAATGTGAAATTACTAATATGCCCTCGTCTCAAAAATCCTAACATAACACAAATATCCAAGCCACTACAAGAATTACAATTGCCGGCACCTAAGAATCAAGCAAGCCAAATTAATCATACTATCAAAGCTATGCCAGAAAATCAAAGCTACAACCACTATTATCAAAAATCGAAGAAGCCATTTGGGGAGAGAAGTTGCTTGGTCTGAGAAGATGAATAAAAGATGCAAGACAAGCTGGAAGGTTTAGAGACAAAGTTTGAATGACTTCAGGTGGCCATAAAGGAAGTGGAAACTATGGTAGCGAGAAATGCTGATCTTGAGATTAAACTTTCCAAACTTGAACGTGGTTTATAGTGTCTTAAGATGGAGTGGATGAACTAGTAGAAGACAGCGACAAATATAGAGATGATGGAATTAGAGATGTATTGCCATCGTGAAGAGGATGAGTCACTATTATGTCATTGCTGCATCCCTGCCATCACCCCTCACCACATCCTTGTTGTCACTGTTGTTGCATCCTTATCACCCTCAATCTTCACCATTACTAGCTGCCAAAGGTAATGTTAATCTAAGGGTTGGTGAAAATGGATTTCCATACTCCTCCGCATGGAAGTCAATTCCATCAATTTTGATGGAATCAGCTTCCACGTGGAAGCTTAATTCAACTCTATTTTATCTAATTAAACACACAAAATTTTAAATTTTATATCTATTTTTATTTCTATCATTTCAATTCTAGCATATTAAATGAGGCATAATGGGTCAACATCCAAATAGCAACCATCCCTTGTCATGTAGAAGGTCATATACAATGGTCACATGTTTACATTCTTGCGAGTTTATTTGGAACAATGAAATATACGAGGAATTCATTTTTTTTAAATCAATTTTCAAAAGTCTTCTTCAATAAGCAAATGACAATAAGGTTTACCAAAATGACATAATTATTTTCAAGCCCCTGGAGATCATTCTGACATTAATTTTTTTATTGAAATTACCAAAATACCCTAATTTTAAAATAAAAAATTGTACATAAAAAGTTGTAACTATTTATTCCATTTCAGTCATTATAAAAAAAATAGTTATTATTTAAACTAAAGTAATAACAAACATTTATAAAACTTTAACTTCAATGAATCAAAAATTTGCATAAGAAAAGTTATAATTACTTATTCCATTTTAGTCATTATAAAAAAAGTAATTATTATTTAAATTAAAATAGTCATGGATATTTACAACATTTAAACTTCAATGAATAAAAATTGGTATAGAAAAAGTTATAATTACTTATTTTATTTTAGTCATTGCTAGGAGAAAAATAATTATTGCTTAAATTAAAGTAGTCATAAATATTTATAACACTTAAACTTCAATAAATCAAAAATTTACATAAGGAAAGCTGTAATTGTTTGAGCTGTTCTAGTCTTTATAAAAAAATTATTATTTTTTAAACTAAAGTAATCATTTATATTTACTTTTTGATTGCTAGGGTTGTTATTTTTTTATTTTAAATAGGTAGTATTTTAGTCATTTCACCAAAAAATATTAATATTAATATCAAAAAGGTCATTTGGGACTTGAGAAGAATCATAATATTTTATAAAATCTCATTATCATTTAATATTTAAGAGGGATTTTTATGTAATTTTTCCATTCATTTTTGCATTTTATCAAATATTGAATCTCTCATCTCTTCTTTATATCTAACAATTTCTTGACCTCAAATAGCTCCGACAAATGATGTGTTTTGCTTTCATGTTGAATTGCTTTCTAATGATATTATTCGTTGATGTTAGTCAACTTTTTCCCACAAGAATCATGACAGACTTTCAACATAAGGTAACCATTGTGAGAGGTAAACAACCATCGGTTATAGATGTCATAACAAGGTCTAATATGGGAACATTTCTATTTTCCAAAAAAATAAAAATAAATAAACGATCTATTTTGTAATATATTTTAAAAAAATGTTTTAAAAATAAAAAATATATAAAAATATTTAATTCAATTTTTTTATTTTTTAAAAAATATGTTTTATAAAATATCAATTTTTATTGCAATGAAACAAAAACATTTCATACAATCGTCTTAACGATGAATTGAATGTTGTGGAGGAATTGACGAGCGCGCTCGGTTTCTTGCGGCGGGAGCCAAAATCAGGAATCCCAGGCTTGGAGGCTACCACCAAGAGACACAATAAATACTTTCCGAGACCAAACCAAACTTAAGGCTATGTTTGGTAAGTTTGAATCTGAAATATGAAAATAGAAACGGAAACAGAATCCATGTCAAAACATGTTTGGTATGATATAATCATGATTCTTTAGAATCATGATTCTAACAAATTTCTCAGAATCCGATTCCATCTCAAAAGCTATGGAATCCGATTCTGTGTAACTTTCCATCTTCTCTCTCTTCCATCTCTCCATCTTACCCTTGCCTCCCTTCCTCTTCTTCTTCTTCATGGACTTGATGGGTGCTGGAGACATTAACGGTTGGCTTGCAACAAGTGAGAGAGGAGCACCCGCAGGAGGAATTGTCGGCATATGTGTGGGAGGAGATTTGGCTGGAAGTGTGTCGGTGCTGGTGCTGCAACAGGTGATGACGCTAGAGGTAATGAATAATGATAGATTTTATAGATCTGAACAGCAGGGGCAGTGAACTTCTCCATCATTCTGGTGTGACGGCGAGAAGGGGGTCATGAATGTTTTTTTTTTAGTGTACCGTGAGCTTTGGGGGAGCTGGAGGCAATAAATATGAAGGGTATTTTAGACTTTTAATAAGACAAATATATTTTTTAAATAAAATTATATCAGGATTCTATCATTATACCAAACATACTTTTATAATCTAATTCTATTCCAATTCCAATTCCGATTCTGATTCCAATTCTAATTCCAATTCCATCAAAAACTCTTCCACGATAACAAACGAGGCCTAAGATTAAGCAATACGAAGTCAGCGAACACTAGGTGTGTGATCTCTTGCGCCCTGGTGTTTTTTCGCCTGCTAATTTGTTATTGTGTCGCTAGCTCCTCATAAATCCATCAGAAGTTTCTTCTGTCGATTAGTGTTGAGTTTCAGTCTGCAAAATGTTCTCTATTCCACCATTCGATTTTTCCAAGGTCATTCTGTGCTAAGTTGTGAACTGGGTCCTCTTCAGCTCTATTTTTGAATTTGAACGAACAAAGCTTAAAATTTTTATTGGTTGATTTCTGTTGTTGCTATTCTGGAACTTGAAGACTGAATTTTGAGCACTTGAGACACTAGGCTATCATCCGAGGGTTCCTATTCACTGTTTAATTTCTCGACGTTTCTTTAAAGTCTAATTCGTCTAGTACTATTGCTACGGGTGTTTCAGTATCAGTGCTTAATTTTATAATTCGTGATTGTATTCATGTATTGCACACAGGTCCTACGCTTGCTGTCTCTGAGTGTTTAAAGTTTAAACAAATCCAAGTTGTTAGCTTAAATGGGAATGGAACGCAATGTATATTTGGCTGCTCTGAGTCGAAGTCTTTGGCATAGGTTTCGAACTTTTTCTCAGATCAGTTGGCCTCTAGCCTCTGATGTAAGTGTATCAATTGCTGCCCTTGTAAGTATTATTGGTGCGATGTTGGCAGTGAGAGATGGCAAAATAGGGATACGAACTAGCTTGCCATGGCCGTTTGATGGAGAGAATATATCAGAGAAGTCGATCTTCATAGCAGGGTTGCAAAATCTTGGGAATAATTGTTTCCTTAATGTTGTTTTACAGGTTTGTTCTTTGAATATACCTTTCTACTGTCTATTATTTATCCTTATTCTTGCTAATTTTCCTTGAATGGGGTTTTAGCACAAAGGAGAACCAGAAAGTCAAACATTAGCTTTCGAGTTTCCTTTTTTTTCCCCAGTGGGCAAATGATATAAGTTGAGATTCGTTGCAGACTTTGGCCAGCTGCTCTTGCTTCCAGACTTTTCTTAATAGCGTGATCCAAGAATTTGGAACTGAGGACTTGACAGAACGGATGCCTCTTACATTTGCTTTGGCTAGTTTATTACAAGGTAGAACATTACCAAGTGAATTGCTTCAATCTCATTTCTATATCTAGAAGTTTTTCACCTTGGAGGCTTTTATTTCAGTTTGTAGTGGAGCTAAGTTCTTGGTGGCCTGACTTATTTTATGCCGTCTTCCTCTCACAGTATTTTATTATCTTACAATTTAGTTTGTATTTTAAGCACATCTTGGCAAAAAAGAATTCAATCCAAGTCCCAGTTTTGTACAAGGGTCCGTTTTTTCGCATCCCCACTCTCTCTCTCTCTCTCTCTCTCTCTCTCTCTCTCTACCTATCCCCAGTTTTATATGATATTCTTTGTGTGACAGAATAAGCCCCTTGATGATTTATGCCTAGAAAATGATGATTTCTAGATGTTGAGGTCTTTTGAAATTGATTTTCTGGAGCAACATTGCCCTTGAGCCATCATATTTTGTACTTGCTGGTTTTGTATCAAATTGGGTGAACCGTCATGTAACCATGTTCTTGAGTTGATTTAATAGTCTGTATGTGCAGAATTGAGCTTTGTTAGTGCAGAAAAGGTTACATTGAGTCCACAAAAGGTTATGCTTGCCATGTCAGATTACATTCCAAACTTTAATCTCACAAGCCAGCAGGTAGAATCATGTTTGTTTAATGACTTGTGAACCAAATAATGTTCTAGCCCTGTCTCGTTCATGATTAATTCTTGTGCTTGTAGGATGCTGCTGAAGCATTTCTTCATCTGTTATGCTCTCTGAGAAATGAGTTTGGAGATTTTTATGCTCCAAAAGAGAGTTCTTTAGCAGACAGTTTTGGTTCTAATCATAGAATTCTTACACCACTACAGAGGGTTGGGCAGACTGAGTGGGAAAGATGGCAACAGCTGTTTCTTGGGCCATTGGATGGGATTCTTGGTAGCACTTTAACCTGTCAAAGCTGTTCATCACAGGTTCATTAGGCTTTCCTGAAGGCAACTGCAGTTGTAAAGTATACATGATTTTTGGTCAATGATATGCATTTGCATATATGCTGTAATGTCCCTGCACGCTAGTTTAGAATGCTTCCAACCAATACTGTAATTAATTTTATCTGGCTATTGGCATTCAAATAAGGCTTCTTCTTGTTGTTTTTGTATTATCATTCAAATGATTTTTGTTAGTAATAACTGGTCACCAGTTAGGCTATGTTTGAGAAAAGAAGTTTTATGGACTTGTGGCCCAAATGCTTTGGAACTTGATTTGAAGCCATGACATTTGTGGTTAACATCAGTGCTAGTTGGTAGAACCTCTAGGGGGAAATAAAGGTTGTGGTTTTAGATTGGCTTACGATCAAGAGAAATGTTATGAATGTGGTCATAAGTTGAAGAGCCTGACTTGGGTGCTAGAAAACAAGAAAAGACTTAGTATTGATCCTATTCTGATTTTTTTTTCCCTGGCATTTTGTTGCTGGCTTGGTCAGAGATAAAATAGTGGATGAGAAGATAAATTTTAAGATCACAATGTTATCATGACAGCTTAGATTATTGAACTTCTTTGAAAGATTTATGGCTATGCTACTTATTGAATGATTGAAATAATTACTTTTAATTACTTCGAAAATTCTTATGCATGCAACTTAATGAATGACTGAAATAATTACTCGTAATTACTTCGAACATTAAATTTAATTTGATGACTTACTGGTCAATCTGGACGTGTAGCATCTATGAGAGATACATGAACACATGTGAGGCTGGTGATTGCATTGTCAGTTGTTGATTAGAAAGTTCTTTACCTTATCTTTAAATTGATTATGACTATATATATCTGTTACAATCTGTTCTTTTTTCCTTTTCTTATTATTATTTTTTTTTCTTTTTGCAGATCTCTTTGAGTTTCGAATCTTTTGACTGTTTGCCACTTTCACCAGTGCTTACTGGGGGTTCCACCATTGTATGTCTTTTAAGTGTTGAAATAGTTTGGTTCGCTGTTATTTTATATCTTATAGTGTATTAGATACCTTACTTCAATTATTCTTATTTTCTATATGGTGATTGGAAGTTACCGAAAGGGTGCAAATACAATTAGCATTTTACAAGAGTTGATAATGTTAAAATTCAAGAATATGAAGCTCCTTTGGGTAGAGTTTGGAGTGGTGATTTGGATTTTAAATTTAAAATCTCACATTTGACATCCTTGTATTTAAAATATTTTGTTTGGATAGTATAACAAATTTCAAATTCAAAGACAGTAGAGAAAGGAGATGGGAAATGAAAATTGAAAGAGATGAGAGGCTTAGTGTAGCTAGCATTTCAAATAACTATTGCATAAGAGGGATTTGAAATTACAAAGAAATTATAATAAAATATGGATTTAGATCTTAATCAAATCCAAATTCATTAAATTTTTATGGATCCAAATGTTGAATTTGGCTCAAATCCACATCTCCTTACATCCAAATGTAACATTAATTTTTTGAGTGGCATGTGATATCTTCAAAACGGTGGCATCCTATGCTTCCAAGTATCATGGATATCAACCAGTGTACTAACCACTTGTATCTTGGGTTCTGGGTTGAAGTAAATCTTGCACCAAACTACTCTATTAATCCTTTGATAGTGGAAGCATTTCCTCCCATGATTTATTAATCATTTGATTGCTACATGTGAACAGCCATTGGTCGTACACTGGTGGATTGCCTGAGGCAGTTCATAGTTGCCGAACATGTTGAGAACTATCACTGCAGCCACTGTTGGAATTAATGCTGCAATCAAATATCTATCTTTGATGGAAGGGAATGATGGTAATTCCTATGCATTTTTAATCAAATATATAATGACTGTATGACACCTTTCTATTTAATAATATTTTTAGATATTTTTTCGTTTTGTTGAGTGGTCCTTAAATTTAGGAGTAGTGGATTTTGAAGATTATGTTAGTCATTTTATTTCTTTATTTATTAGGTAGTTATGCCCTGTTATCTGATTTAGGGATAGTGGAGTATTTTTAGGAATTACTAGTTAGTCTTTTGTCTATAAATATTGAGGCACATCATGTAGAAATCATCTGGAAATACAATCATTATTTTGTTATATTAATGGAGATTCTCCTTTGGCTTTATTAGTTGTATGATTTAAGATTTTTGCTCATCTTCTATTAAAAGATTTTCATTTGTCTTATTAATTTATAAAGTTAGATTTTGATTTCATATTTCGATAAAGATTTATTTTCCTTATTCTCTTTACCTATCTTGAATCCTATCACACACACACACACACGCAAAGAAACCTAAGGGTTTGATAGATGGGGTTTGATATGATTAATATCGCCGTTTATGTGTGTTTTGGCTCTTGTTACTCAGACAGAAATTGAGAAGCTCGGTGGATGTTCTAAAGAAGAATTCTGTGACTGCCGAAAGCTTTATAATCTTGAAAAAGCTACCTTGGTCAAATAGGTTTTCTCATATACTCTGAAGCAGCTAAGTATTGCTCGGTGTCCAAGGGTATGCATGCTTGATCTTCTTTCTGCACTTTCTGTTAGAGATGTGAGTCGCTCCTGGAGTCAACCAGACATCTTATTAATCATGCGAGGCTAGATCAAAATTTGACGTTCCTTTCGGATGTGACAATTCACTACATCATTTGGCATAAAGCTCATTATCAATTGAACTCCAGTGCTCATTATCATTGGTTCTTGTGCTTGGAGGAAAGGCTTCTCGTTGTTTTTCATGAGATTTTCGTCCCTCTGTATGCCTATGACCATGCATGTTAAATTGAATTTATCTAGCTGCCTTCTCTCTGATGTTCAATATGGATATTTGGCATTTAAAACTATCAGTTAGTCTGTACTCTTGTAGCTCAATGTCTACTAGCTACTAATATGTCCAATTATATGATTGCAGATTCTGTGCATCCAATGAAAAGAGTTTCTATGAACGTTTTTGGGGAACCAGCCAAACTGCAGGTACTTGGATTTTTGACAGTGGATTTTAGTACATAAAAAGCGTCAAAAAAAAAAAAAAAATCTTTTGCCCTTCCCCTTAATGTATACCCATAACCTGAAACTCATTTTGTTTGAGGAGAGCGGACATAAATTGACTGCCATTTAGTTAATATTAAACTTTTACCGGAGCAGGAATAAAAGGATAATGTATGGGCATTCTTAGAATTTTACTTGATGATATCTTATCTTGATGGTGAAAATG